TTCATTCTCAGGTCAGAGGTCTACACATGTATCCAGCCAGGAAAGCTATCTCGACCAACCTTTTGAAGTTCCAGATTCGATACCTGTATCTAGCCAGGGCATATCTGTGAGCGATTGATTGTAGATTCGATACCTGTATCTAGCCAGGGCATATCTGCATGAAGAGATTGAAGATCAATACTTGTATCTAGCCAGGAAGTCATCTTTCATTCTCAGGTCAGAGGTCTACACCTGTATCCAGCCAGGAAAGCTATCTCCACCAACCTTTTGAAGTTCCAGATTCGATACCTGTATCTAGCCAGGGCATATCTGTGAGTGATTGATTGTAGATCTATACCTGTATCTAGCCATGAAAGTATCTGCATGAAGAGTTTGAAGATCAACACCTGTAACAGGCCAGGAAATTATCTTTCATTCTCAGAGGTCTACACTTGTATCCAGCCAGGAAATCTATCTCTACCAACCTATCGGAGTTCCAGATTCGATACCTGTATCTAGCCAGGGCATATCTGTGAGCGACTGATTGTAGATCTACACCTGTATCTAGCCAGGAAAGTATCTACATGAAGAGTTTGAAGATCAACACCTGTAACAGGCCAGGAAATTATCTTTCTTTCTCAGGTACGCAAGTTCTCGCTAAGGAATCTCTTACGCGATCAACACCCCTAGATGGCATCTTTAAGCCTATCTCCACAACTATCCATTACACTTCCAGATGGCATCTTTAAGCCTATCTCCACAACTATCCATTACACTTCCAGATGGCATCTATAAGCCCATCCTCCTATCTATCATATCTCCAAATGGAATCTGTAAGCCCATTCCCGACGACACATTGCTGATACTCCACTATGCGAGTGCAAATTTCTGGGCACTCTAGTGTTCAATCATCTTCCACCTTCGGATCACGAAAGGCGCGCAAGCCAATCTACATCCTCAAGTTTAAGAAGATTGAACAGGGGAAACTGTTGTACCCCAAAATTTGCCCTCCCATATTCTTCAAGGTTTGTCAAGAATCATCTTCAAATGGTTCAAGATTTCTCAAGGATTGCACAGTCCAACTGCCTCCTAAGCCAGTCAAAATTAGGGTTTTGGTTCTCTCAAGGAATTTGAGGTTTTCAATGGCTCAATCAAGTCCCATAGGCCTATATACATTGTCAAGCATCTACATGCCAAGTTGCAAAACTCATAGTGCCAAATTCCACAGTCAAAAGCCCCATTTGCTCTACAGTCAACTATAGGGGTAAAATGGTCATTTGGCAGTCAAAAGTCAAAAATTTTGGTCAACATCTTATTTTGAACTCACAATCATCATTTGATCAACTCTTGATCATTATTTCACAAGCATGGCTCAAAAATCATCAAGATGCAAAAGTTACTATTTTTGGACAGTAGAAAAGTCAACTGTATCTTGACCAGGGCATAACTTTTTCATGGTTCATCAGAAAAATCCCATCCAATGCTCATTTTGAAGGGGATTACATTTCCTACAACTCATCTTCACATTCCAAGTCCAAGAAATGCTCTCACAAAAAGTTATCAATTTCTACATTATAGGTCAATTTCAAAAGTCAACAAAAATGCACTTTAAGTCAAAGACCATAACTTGAGATTGGTAAATCCAAATGACATGGGACCAAAGGCCTTGGTTATAGGACTTCAATACCTTTCCAAAATGTCCAAGAACATGTTCATATGATCAAAATTGAGCAAGATATGCATTGGAGAAGTTGGGAAATTTTTGTGAATTTGCAAAAGTCAACTTTGCTCAAAACACTTTGTTTTTACTAATGGGCCTCAAATTTCTTCTTGAAACTTTATCCAAGGCCTATGCACGACCCATCAAGCTTAAATTAATTTATTTTCTTATTTTTATTAATTAATTGGATTTTTAATCAATTTTAATTCATTTAATTAATTTAAATTGTAGGAAATATCAAGATATGGTTTTTCAATCTTTTCATGAAGCAAATATGACCTAAAGGAGCTGGCAAACTCGTGTGCACATCAAGAGGACAAGAATCTCCCAATTTAGCATGTTTTTTCAATCAAAAAGATCCAAAAAGATATGATTGAAAATCAAATATTAAAACCATCATTCCATGGATTTCTTGGCCAAGATTTAACCTAAATCCATTCTACTATAAGTACACAACCTAACCCTAATGCATTGGACGTGAAAATTGCTGCAGAAAAGCAATAAGCATATGGGAAAAAATCAAAGAAAACTCAAAACTGTTTTCTGTGTTCTAGGGAGAATTAAGGACCTTTGTTGATTTCAATCCATTGCAGGAGGTCCCCAGGACGATTTGCAATCAATTTCCAGTTTCATAGCTCCAAGAATCACTAGTTTCAGAACCACGGTTTGCTTCTCATGTCCATAATCATAACTCATATTTTATGCATAATTAACATGATTTAATCATTGTTTGGTATTGCTTGAATTCATATAAAGCTTTTGGCATAGGTTAATTGCATTATAACACGCAGAATCATAAGTTACCATTGGAGGATTTTAGGGTTCCTGAGGTCTCGAATTGGGGCTTTACAGCCCAGGAAAAATTAAGCTTCATAAGACCTATGGTTGAATTCAGGAGATTCAGACGAACACAAAGCTACCATCGCGCCATATTTATATAGCCTGTAGGGCTATTCGCTATTATTGGTCATCCTGTTTTGTGGGGGTTAAAAACCCCCACTATCTGTTTGTCTTTTACAGGGAAAAAGGAAGACGATGATGAGGTGTAAGCGTGCTACTGGACAATTCAAATGGCGCGCGGTTTTGTTTGTTTTACAGTACATGCACTAATGTTTTAATATTATAATTGCTTGTTGTTGTATTATCAGATGCAAGCGAATGGTGCAGTGGATAGTGCGTTGTCCAAGAATCATTGGGACCTGGGTTCGATTCCCAGGTCCACCCAAAATCTTTATTTTCTTTTCCTTTACATGTTCACGTGCAGGTTCCCAGGCAAGGTCTACCATATGCCTCCAGTGATCAGCGCTCCAAGTGGCAGTGAATTCAAGTCATGTGGCCTGGATTGGAGGACTAGTGTACACTCTAGTCAATGCATGTGTGGATGAGCCAGCGAGTCAACAAGGCTTATGTGCAGATGGGCCTGAAATTTCCAGAACAAACCTCCTAATGGGCCCATCACCCCCCTGGTTTCTTTATATTTTCTACTTTATTTATTTAATTGTTTACTATTATTATTATTATTATTTATTTAACTAACATAATTATTATTTTCATAATAACATAATAAAATCAAAAAAATATAATAATTATTATTATTATTAATTTCACCTTAATTTAATTATTTTGTAAATAAATGCTAACAAATAAATTTAGTTTAATTAGGTTTAATTTTGACTTTTTCATAATAAATAAAATAAATTTAGAATTAGGGTTTTCTTGACAACTTTTAATTTCTTTTATTTTATTTTCATTAAAACTTAAAAAACTAAAAAATACTTTTTCTTGTAATTATTTAAATAATTAGTAAATTAGGTTTAATAGTTAATTAATTGCAAGAAGGACCACAATTTCATTCTTTTCTCAAAAGGGGTCAAAACCCTAAGACTTTTCCCGATTCAATTTTTCTTGCGCATGTTTATTCTTGATTTCTATTTTGATCATATTTATGTATCTGCTCCGAGAATGTAATAGATAATTAGGACTTTTATCGCTTTCTTTATTTTCTCGCATTTATTTTTCAAGGGTTATGTTTTTGGCGATGTAAATACCTGACGCCTTGTAATAGCGTAGATTCATTTTCCGCAATTTATTCTCCACACACTTATTAACTGTTAATTATGCATGACAAGACTTGCCTGAAAATAAAACCAACTCGTAGCTCACAATAATAAATGTGAAAAGACAATTTAACATGAAACCTGACACACGTGCACATGCCACTATTAGGGTACGCCTCACTTGGTTGCCTCGACGTGGTCATTGAGTATAGGGTGTTTTAGAGGTCGCCCTCCTGTCTAAAGATCCAGTTGACTCGAAACAGTTGCCTCGGATAAAAAAGGATCTAGGACATTAGAGTTACTGCTAAGGCGTCCTACTATTGCTTTGGTGACCACACATGTCCCATATAATCGAATTGACCCGAATAACTCAACGACGGTGCTACCTACTTCTCAATAGTGGGATAGTACTGTCTAAAGGACATTTACACAGCTTAATTTCTTTAGAGTAGGTAGATTTCTCTTGGATACTTGCTCTTTCAAAAAACAATACAAACTTTTCGCACTCACACTTTCAACCAAAAGTTTTCAAACAAATACTTCATACACTCTTGAGGACAGATACAAGAGTTACCTAGAAGTTTTCAAACTAAACTTTTTCAAAACCCACAAACACAAGAAAAGCAAACAATTTTTGAAAACATAGTGAGCAAGTACCTAAGAGCCCGTGGATAACCACGGATAGAAAGGGTGCTAACACCTTCCCTTTCTATAATCTACCTCCCGAACCGAGAAACATCTCGAAAAGGAATTTTGTTGTGCTTTTGTCCTTTCCTTGTTGGAGAAAATAAAAGACAGAGGCGACTCTTGCTTACCGCGACATTTTGCTAAACGCAAACGCGAATCAGCATTCCAAAACAGTCAGTTCTATTTCCACCGATCACAATCGTCAATTGGAAATTCAAACTTGAAATAGCGTTCTTAAAAAGTGCAAGCATGGCACATGAGTGCTCAATTTGGATTCAATTAGTGTGGAGATATGAAAGGTATACAGGCTTGGTTCCAAGGTTTTCACCATGTTTCGTACAAAGATTTATCCATGCAAAGGCTTCAAGACAAAGTTTTCTTCATTATTCAAATTTGATTCCAACCATATTCATAGTTATCATTCATACAAGAAATACAAAAACTACAGTCCTTACAATGAACTTAGAGGCAAAAGGATCAATTTGGAAAAGAAGATTACATCGAATACTTTACAAAATCGTTACAAGTTTATGCCTATGCCTTGTCTTGATAAGATTCTAAGTCTTGAAGCACCATTTCTCTTTAACTATTCCAGCTTTACACCATGCTTCATGTTGCTCTTTACAAATACCGAACCTTGCATCCATATATAAACATAAACCCGCAACCCTACAAACCAAAAATCCAATTCAAAATTCATAATAAGTCCACTAATAACAGAGACAGATGAAAACAATCAAACTAGTTTAATACTCATGAATCTGTGGCTCTACATCAAACCAATAAGCCTATTCAGATCCCATCAAATGCCAATTCATGATATCATTCTAAACCAGTTAACCAATCCATACAGTCAGAAGATAAAATGTTTGAATACTGAACTGATTTAGACTACTACAATGTTATCCATTTCAGTTGGACCAAGAATAAAACAAGAAGCAGTTGGTTCAAACATTCCCTCTTGAAATCATTTATGAGTATTCAGTTGAAGCTAAGTCCTAATCCGAGCCTAACCGTGATTCATCATGGCTCTCACTAATCTAAATGTGCCAGCTCATTCAAACAGAAATCAAAAAACCAATAACAGAAAAATCGCTTCTAACTGACTATTAACAGTAACTAACCTCCACCCCAACTGACTTCCTAATAGATCTCTAATCTTCTAACTGTTTAACAGAAAAAAACAGCATAACAGAATTTCTAGACAGAATTCTAAGCCCCCTAACCAACTCTAACAACCCCTAACCGAATTCCTTCTAAATGTTTTTACCAACCCTGCTTCAGTTCAATATAACAGAAAAATAAAAGGGAGAAGGTACGATATTCTCATAACAAAAAAGAGAAGAAAAAATATGAGAAAATCACCAGAAAATTCTCACTCTCTCTGAAATCGTTTCTCCAAACTTCTCAAATTTGCGTCTGATTCATCATCAATCATCATACATCTTTATCAATCTTCACTATAACCGCCACTTCATCATCATTTCAAGAAACTGCAACAACTTCAGATTTGTAATCTTCATCTGCAACAACATCACAACTAAATTTTCGTCACAATTCCACTACAACAATCGTTTCAACAACGAATTCATAGAATCTGTAACAACAACAACTCAACGCGTTAACAACTCTTCATCAATAGAGAAATACACAAACAGAGTAGAAGTCAAAATCAAAGAAAAGGAGAAGAATATCAAGAACTCACCTCTAAGTTATCCTCTGCAAACTCCTATGCAGATCCTTCATCATTTTTCTTCATGTTATTCAAGTAGCATCTTCTTCTGCATCTTCTTGAAGCTTCAAGACACCTTCAACATATTTCAGCCAGCTTCGTCCTCGACCATCATCGTAACGTTCCATCAGCATTACAACAACAATTATGTAACGAAAATGAAATCACATACAGATGAAAGAAGAGACTAGAAAAAGCATAACAACGAAAATTACCCAAATCTCTGGATTTCGTGCAACATCGACGTCTTTGCCGGAATATCTCCGACCAGAATGATGTTATGACTTTCGTTTCCTAATTTTTGTTTTACATTTCATTGTTGCATCACAATGACGATTTGATAACGATAGACAAAATTAATGATTTGAGATGAAGGTGGAGATCGGAAGAGGAAATTGTTGGTGATGGAGGGAGTTGCGTCGCGATTTGAGATGAGAGATGGCGGCAATCTATCGGAGAATGTCGGAGAAGATAATGTTGCAGCGGCCCATTTTATTTGAAGAAGAAGAGCCTCTGTATCGAGTGAGTTGTAGAGTCATATGCTTAACCCTAGTGCAAAACGCTAAACAACGTCGTTCCACTAGGTTCAAATTTTACTTTCTTAGTTGATATAATAAAGGAATAATAATACTGCAATGAAATGGACTAGGTAGGAAGTTGTGTTGGACCGAACTAACCCTCCCTTAGGTCCATCACGTTTTTTTAGGCACAAAAAATGGCTTATTAGACATTGCAGAATGGGCCTTGCGCCTAAAGTCATTGCTGGAAAAATACATCTAGTTACAGATTATGCACCATCCTCTGTTTAGAATTATTTTTGTTTCCTTGGCATAATTTTCATGATAAAATTATGTAAAAATAATAGAATATTTTATAATTTTCTTTGGTTATCTCTTTAGAATATTATTAGAGTTTTCTATTATTTTATGTTTAATAATCATTTTTTAGCTAAGATTTTATGAAAGAATGTTTGTGTAATTTTCACAATGTGAAATGCTTGGGTATTAATTCGTTTGATCAATGCACGAAGCAGCTTCTGTAGAGTTTTCTTATCGCTTGCGTGATTTTGAAGAGGCAACAGACCTTCTCTATTCGGTATGATTGTAACCTTATTTTATTCCTCATTTTCGCACTTTACCGCTTTTCTAGAGATCATGAGAAGTAGGTCTTTACTGCTTTCTGAGGCTATGAGAAGTAGGATAGAGATGTATGACGGGGGCCTCCGCTGCTGATCATGTCAGGAACCCTTATGGTTTATTTAAAGACCCGTTTAGGGAAATTCCGCATATTTTGTTTGCTATTTGTGGTTGTTTAAAACCCTACCTTTGAGTAGGTATTCTGCAGGTGTGTTTATATTTGTGACTGCATATGTACAGATGATAAGTCCTCAAAAAGAGGCGAGTGGGGAGGGTTAGTAATCAACCCCCACAATTTTGTCTGTGTCATCCTTAGCTCGTGACGCACCACGTAGCTTCGGAGTTGTGCCTACTCTTGTGTATCGAGTCATCAAGTGGGGAAGGGTTCTGCAATTGAACCCCCACACTTTGTCAAGAGTTCGCGTTGGCCGATGCAGATACTCCATGATCGTTCATATTGTCTTCTGTTGCCTACCTCGATCTCCTATATCTTGGTTAGATGTTCAGTCGCTTTGGACATCACATTTTTGTTTTTCATCTCACTCCCACTTGTTTGTCTCGGGTGATACGCTCCCTTTGACTAAAGAATTTCATTTCTTTTCCTTATTATTTTATGTGTGTGCTCTTTCGAGTTTGCTTGTTTTATCCTTGTACATACCATGTTCCTTTAGGACGTGGTTGCTCCTTTCGGATGCAAGTTAGACCTTAGGTTGCAAACCATTCATGCTAACATTAGGTAGACGTTTCCCTTTTGTTAATCCAAACTTTAGGACCACCATTATATGATAACATTAGGTTAGAAATAGGGTAGTCTCCCATAAACTCTTTTCTTCCCCCTTTGGCATACACATCTAAAACTAAAACTCTTTCCTTAGCAAATCATAAAACATGATAATCACACTTAATCCCTTTTTTCAAGGTAACAAATACAAACCAACTCAAACCTTTTTTGTGTGCTCAAGCACCTTTTCTCTAAAACCCTTTTCTGGTAAGGACATGATTAATTTACTTATGTGCCAATGCATGAGTCTCTAAAGATCGATCTGCGGCAGAAAGCGGAATTAACATTATTCATAAAAAACACAAAACAAACAAAAACATGTTATCTGAACTACGGAAGCTCTGATTCCTCAAAAAGGATACGTATGTATTGGGGTAGGGTCCAAGCGAGTGCAACTTTATTTTCCCTACACTCTTTTCTCCTTTCTCTTGCATGCATTCTTCCTCAGCAGTAAACAGTAGGCATAGATTAAACACACCCATAAGATAGATAACAAGAGTGGATACCTTAGAGTACTACGGGCGTGTGCGGTGTCAATACCTTCCCCTCGCGTAATAGACTCCCTTAACCGATCTCTCAGTCGCAAGACCGTGACTTCTCCCTTCTTAGGTTTTCTCGATGTTTACCTTTCCCTTCATGCGGGATAAAAGACGTTCAATGGCGAACTCATTGTTTGATGATTTTCAGTCGGTTGTTTCAGCTGGAGACTTCACTAAGGACAGGTCGACCAAATGTTTGTCCATCCCGGAGTCGCTCCTTGCTCTTGTTTTCTTCTCTTTGCGTGTTTATTTTTTATGCTTTCAGTTTATTCATCCATACATGATTACCTAAGCATATGTATGCATTGCATTTTACTGTTTTCCATATACTATTACTGTATTGGATCTGCTTCTTGTTGGGTGGGTGTTACAAGAGGTAAAAGGCCCAATACCCAAGCAAAGTGACAACCATAGGAACCCTAGGAATAGAGTGGAACATTAACGACTAGTTGACGTGGGTTTCATTATTGCCGCCATGTCATCCATGCTCAGATGAAGTACATATGAGGGGTTATTCTTTTCACGTAGGTGATACGGCGATAGTTTTTTTCAAGAGCACCCTCGATTCTGAGTTACCTGAACTTACCCTGACCTAGTCTTCACCCGTGAGTGGGGCGGGAATTATTATCACAGGTACCAATGGTGACTATGTTCAGATGGTGGTTATTTGTTCTAATGATTATGTTTTGTATGTTCTGTTGGTGACTATGGGGTACTCATATTTATTTTCTGAGTTCCTGACTTGTTTGTTTGGAGGTTTATTCGGGCCTTTGATCTTGGTATTCCCACCATGTTCAGAAAATGCTCAACAATATCTGGTTTCCAGAAACCTTGATCACGTACAATGGAAGATCTACACTGTACTTTGTTCTTATATGTGCGGAAGCTATGCCGGAGATTTGATATGGTGATATTCATATGATTTAGAATAGTTCCACAATCATATTCAAGAATTATGGACCTTTGATCCTATGTCTTTGCATACATAACATGGTTAACCACATGCTTAACATACATGTTCTGTTATTTCCAGGGAATTGTATTTGCAAGTCTTGCGTTGAACTTTTCCATTCCTTACTTGCATCAAAAAAATATCAAAGCATGTAAATTTCTTGGAAATGGTGGAACATGACATGGCATCCATTCATGCACCCCATGCATATTCATGCATCCATAATAGGTATTTGAAGATTGGGGATTCTTATTCATACCTGGTGCTCTCTTCAGAGGTTTAGACTTGATTTCTTACTGCACATTTTCAGAGATCAGTATGGGATAACTCTATGGGGGATTGACCGATGCGAAGATCCCAATAGGGTTGATCGTGGTATACATGCAAGTTTTGACCCATGGCCAGGAATTCTTTGAGAAGGAATATAATTGATTGAAGAATTAGATAAGCCAGGTCATGGAAGCTCTGATGATGATGTCAACAATCTTGCATTTATTGCCGTAAGAGGTTTTCTATCCTCCTTATCTTTTGGAAATTTCTTTCGACCGTGGAACGCTACATAATATTGAGTTCTTGGGACATCTTATCGACAGACGGTTCCTATTCATTATGTGAATTCAAGAAACTTGTTTTACCAGCGAGAACAGAATACGCCTGAAGAAGAGTTGATCTTATATCAGTGCTTCATTCTCATTGTTCTCCACACTTGTTTGAGCTTCAGTAGGTTAGATCCCGTACTTCGGTACCATCTATAAATTTCCTTCCAGATCATGATACCAATGTCAGATTTGGTTACCACACCGCGACATCTGACTATTCAATCAGGGGCACTCTCCACAACTTTGTGTTCCCTGATCTGTTCGAGAAAGAAGAATCCTGATGAGCATGCTGATACAAGCCCACTGCATTACATCCAATTATTTCCCCTCCTGGTGGAAGTTCAATTGGAAGCTCTGATCTTCGGGGTCCTCCTCCCACAAACATCTCTTCTGATTGTGATGCACATCATAGATGCATCCCTTATATTGAGGCACCCGGTTTTGATGTTGAAGTTTGTAAAAGGGTTGAAGTATGAAGCCCAGCACATGTCTGGCATCTCTTCCAAAATCCTAATTCCTATTTGGCCAACTTTTGGACTCTTTCTCACCAGGTGGACGTCTCTGTTGTTCTGATAGAAGACAAAATGTATTATTTATTTGTGGCATAATATGCTTGGTGATGCAGTTTATACCAATTTGCTTGGTAAAGCATTCATTCACTCTCCTAAAAGAATCTTCTATGCATATATTCTGGGGTAACTAATCATTCGATTAAAGATGATATGTCATCCAGAGATAAAGTCCAAGATGGAATCAATCCAGGGATTGTTATGTTCACATCAGATCAGAAGGAGAATTCTCTCGGCCATTTAAGCATCAAGGCTGTAGAAAGTCGTCATAATGAATAAGCCCATACGAAGTCAAGTCTCCTCAACAATGGCAATCATTGGTTTCTTTATTGTATTTTCATTTACATTATTGCTTGTTTGTTTTAAACATTGCTTGTATATAGAAACTTGTCTATTTTTGAATGAAAATCTTAATGCAATAAGTATGCTTGTCTTGAAGTGTTCCTTTCATTTTTACTCAACCATTCGTTATCACACTTTAAATGTTTTACTTGTATATTGATGCCAACTTTCCAAATCTTATGCTTAGGTAAAGATTGAAGGGAGGATGACGATAATCTAAAAACGCAAAAAAAATCTATGGTTGGTACGCTTTTGAGTAAGACCCTACTGACGATGTACAGACCTTGTCCTATTCCTAAACATCAGAGATATAAGGGAGATAG